GCTGATTTTGTACACAGCAAGATCCCACAAACTACAGTGTAGTAATGGATTAGGGTTAAGGTTAGATAATCAGTGTTTTTTTAAATTTTTTGACGGCAATCGAGAGATGAATGTTGGCCAAGGAGACCGGTCCTGCTTTTCTCTGAAATATTGGCCAGGAGATCTGAGAGGACACACACGTCTCATTGAAAGGCCAGCATCCAACAATACTGTAAAAGTCACTAGAGTACCATAAGGCTGCCCTCTCGTTAGAGAGAGACGACTGGCAGTGAGTTTAACCCAAGGGTCACCAGGCCTCAGGCAAGATTGAGAAGGTGGGAACTTCATGTTAACCTCAGACACGCTGGGAATGGAACCCGTGCTGTTTATGACACTCGGCATTGCAAACCATCTGACCAAGCTAACCAACACCCCACACAACAGTGCAGCAAACCCTCACTGATAGTGTGACCCTCGCTGATGGTAGCTCAGTGGTTAGCACTGCTGCCTCATCAGCCCCAGGAGCCCAGGTTCAATCCCACCGTTGGGCAACTGTCTGTGTGGAGTTTGCACATTTTCCCTGTGTCTGTGTGGGTTTCCTCCAGGTGCTCCAGTTTCCTCCCACAGTCCAAAGATGCGCAGGTTAGGGTGGAACAAAAACAGAAATTGCTGGAAAAGCTCAGCAGGTCTGGCAGCGTCCGTGAAGAAAAAAATCAGACTTAACATTCCAAGTTCAGTTCTGAGGAAGGGTCACCAGACCTGAAATGTTAACTCTGATTTTTTTGCCCCCCCTTCACAGACGCTGCCAGACCTGCTGAGCTTTTCCAGCAACTTCTGTTTTTGTTCCTGATTTATGGCATCCTCAGTTTTTTCAGGTATTTATGTAGATTAGGGTGGATTGGCCATGCTAAATTGCCTATAATATCCAGGGAAGGCACAGGCTAGGTAGATTAGCCATGGGAATTGTGGCCTTATGGGGATTGGGTGGAGGTGGTGGTCTGGGTGGGATGCTATTTGGAGGGTCGGCGATGACTCAATGGGCCAAATGGCCTGTTTCCACACTGTAGGGATTCTATGATTCTCTGCACACTAGAGCATTTGCCTCGATTTTGTCTTAACAGTGGGACTTGAACCCCTGACCTTCTGACTCAGAGATGGAAGAACAAGTATTTAGTTTGCCGGTGTGGTTCCAAAATTATATTCGAAAGGCAATCTGGCATTCCTTATCAGGCAGAAAGCAGCACAGGGATTCGATAGGACTGAGATATACAAGGTTTCTGTCTCTGAGTTCCCGTCTTACAAACACATTGCTTTCCCCTTGTCAATTCCTTCTGCTGACTCACCACAGCTCCTCTCTAAATCCCCTTAACCTTCTCCTTCCTGAAAGCAATGCCCAGGTTATCAGACTGGGTCAGCCCTGGCCTCCCATCCCCTCGTGAAAAGTCCACAGGATTTCTAAGGTAAATTGGCAAGAGCAAAAATTTGAGAGTCAACAGGTTGAAGGCACAGGGCCAGGGAATTACCAGACTGGGAGACGGAGAGTGGGTCAACCTACAGAGCTTCTTCTTCCAGGAGTTCTGTCTCCTTTGGATTCCTATCTTCGTAGCCTAGACACCAGGTTTTGCATGTATACCATGCCAGAGTTTTACAACATGGTTTCCTTCGAAAATGGAAATATTTCGTTCGTTCCAACCTGTTGGCGATTGTTCTAAACCGCATCGAACCCAATCCCTTCACTTCCCACTCCTTCAATCCCGAATAAATCCCAACTGGGAATTCAGGAGACCATGATTTACCCCAGAGAGTGGTGAGAATGTGGAGCTCACTCCCACAGGGAGTGGCTGGGGTGGACAGTATTTGAGGGAGAGCTGGATAAACACAAGAGGAGGGGAAAGGAGAGCATTGGAATTAGGGCATTATGGCAGCAGGTTTGGATGGAGGAAGCTGGGAGGCGGCTGGTATGGAGATTGCAGAACAGTATGAAGCTGTTGGGTTGAATGGCCTGCTTCCTGCCATTAATACGATGCAATAAATCAATGTCGCTAAAAGAAGAGACGCCTTTGTACTGATTATAATGAGGTCAGCCAGATGGACTGATAGAATGTGAATTCCCTGGTTGGGGCTGTTAATCTGGTCCAATCAGGGAGCCCTGGCTGACAGATATAAACAGAAGTGTCAGGGGTTGTGTTCACTCTGAGAGCTGGCTCTGACGAAGCTGGATCGGTGTCAAGGATTCTCCGTGTGTAAATAAAGGGTGAAAGGGTGATGGGATACCGGCCTCTGTGGAGTTATTTCAGCCTTGCTGCAGTTTTACATTTTGCAAGGACTGAATATATTCAGCAGGACTGAATACCAAATTTCAAACCATCATGACAATTTGTACTACAGGAGAACATTGGTACGGCAATAATAACACAGTGTGGAGCTGGATGAACACAGCAGGCCAGGCAGCATCATAGGAGCAGGAAAGTTGACGTTTCGGGTCGGATCCCTTCTTCAGGTCTCTTCAGGACCCCTTTTGATGAAGGGTCCTGATCCAAAGCGTTGACTTTCCTGATCCTCTGATGCTGCCTGTGTTCCTCCAGCTCCAGACTGTGTTGTCTCTGACTCCAGCATCTGCAGTTCTCACTATCTCTGATTGGTTGGCAAGTTGGCTCTGACTGCTTGGATCCTTGCAATGCTTTCCAGCCTCCAGACGCTTTCTGTGGGAGACAATTCCACAAGTGATGTTTCCTCACCTTGCATCCTGAAGAGGCTGTGCACCCTGGTTCTAGACTCCTCATCCAGGGAAAGCAACCTCTGTGTGTCTAGTCTATCCAGCCCTGGTAGGAATTTAGACATTTCAATCAGATTGCCTCTTGTTCTTCTGAATACAGGCCCAGGTGAACCAACCTCTCCTCATATGTTTAACCCTTGAAGTTCAGGGTTTATTCTGGTAACTCTTCACCACATTCCTTCCAAAGCCAGTATCTCCTTTTGGAATACCAACATAAAATAATTTACAAAAACAAAACCTGGGGCTGGCGGAGGAAAAATTTTTCTTAACGCAGCCAACGTTGTGATCTGGGATGAGTTGCCTGAGAGAGCGATGGAAGCAGAGTCAATCAGAATTGTGGAACACAAGGAACTGCAAAGATACTTGAAGGGGAATTATTTCCAGGTCTGTGAGGTGTTGGGGGAGGGGGGGATCCAGGGGTGGTAGGTAATGGGTTGGGGGGGAAGAGCAGAGACTAATCTGATAGATCTTCCACAGCCCTCACATAGGTACGATGGGCTGAATGGCCTCTTGCGAAGCTGGACGATTCGGGAGAAGTTTCAGAGTTTGCACGTTCTCCCCGTGTCTGCGTGGGTTCCCTCTGGGTGCTCTGGTTTCCTCCCACAGTCCAAAGATGTGCAGGTTAGGGTGGATTGACCATGATAATTACCCATAGTGTCCAGAAATGTTTAGGTTAGATGGGTTAGACATGGGGAAATGTAGGGGTAGGGGAATGAGTGGGGTGGAATGCTCTTCGGAGGGGCAGTGTGGACTTGTTGGGCCAAATGGCCTGTTTCCACACTGTAGGGATTCTGTGATAGCTTCTGTGAAATTCTTTCAAGGTGCCGTAGAGTTCAATGGGATCCTGATTGGAGGAGACAGCATTCTGCACAGAATCTTAAAATCTCACCACAATGACAGAGTTTGCAATGTTTTACCTTTTAACTATAAATCAGCTGAGCATATTCACACTCCTGTCCCTGCTGTTACATAAATAAAATGATTAAATATATTCCTTTCATTTAATTCGCAAACGCCACTGTTTATTTTTCTTGTCCTCAATCCCACGACAAATTTCTCTTTTTGTGCTTATTCCCCTCTCTCTTTCTTTCTGTTTATTTTAACTCTCTCTCTCTCTCTCTCCTGGCTTGTTTAGCATTGATCTCAATTCCCCACCTCCTCTCCCAGCCTTCCCTTTCTCTTTGTCCTCCCTCTTTCTCACATCCTGAACTCCTTGCCAAACAGAGTGCAATCCCTTTCCCACACTCACTGGCTAAGCCCAGACTAAACTGAAGACACGTGTCGATTGAAAAACCCCTCCTCCTCCCAGCAGAAGATCAACGCACACAGCTCCCCTGGCACCAGAAAGCAAAAGAGACACACAGAGAGACAGAGAGAGAGAGAGAGACAGAGAGGGAGGGAGAGAAACATGGCAGAGTGAAAGGGAGAGAGACAGTGAGAGAGTGAGACGGAGAGAGGGAGAGAGGCAGAGGGTGAGAGGGAGAGAGGGAAACAGGGCAGAGTGAGACAGAGAGTGAAGGGGGAGAGAGACAGAGAGAGTGAGTGAGAGAGACAGAGAGTGAGAGGGAGAGAGAGAAACAGGGCAGAGTGTAACAGAGAGTGAGGGGGAGAGAGAGATGGAGAGAGGGAGAGAGAGAAACAGGGCAGAGTGAGGGGGAGAGAGACAGAGAGAGGAGAGTGAGAGGAAGAGGAACAGCAAGAGGGAGAGAAAGAAAAACAGAGCAGAGTGAGACAGAGAGTGGAGAGACAGAGAGGGAGAGAGAAAGAGACAGAGGAGAATGAGACAGAAAGGGGGAGAAAGACAGAGAAGAGAGAAACAGGGGAGATTGAGACAGTAAAAGGAGGGACAGGAAAGAGTGAGTCAGTGAAAGGGAGAGAAAGAGAAGGAAGGAGGGGGCAGGGAAAGAGAGGAGAGTGAGACAGAGACTGAGAGAGACGGAGAGAAGGAGAGGGAGAGGAGATTGAGAGAGGGAGGGGATATTGAGACAAGGAGAGTGAAAGTCAGGGGAGAGTGACACTGAGACGAAGCAACACCGGGAGAGTGATATAGGGACCACAGAGAAAGAGAGAGATGTGAGTGAGAAAGAGGCAGAGGAACAGGGAGACAGACAAGGTAAGAGGAGAGAGAGAGAGAGGGAGACATTAGCAGGGGCAGAGAAAGGGAGGAGAGGGGGACAGAGACACAGAGACAGGAGAGAGAGAGAGCAACAGAGAGAAAGTGACGGGGAAGAGATGCAGGAGCAGAGAAAGAGAGAGGGGTAACACGAAGAGAGACAGAGGTGAGAGAGCAAGGAAGAAGGGAGAGAGAAAGAGGAACATTAGAGAGATAATGAGGGGAGGATTGAGGCGGTAAAAAATAGAGGGACACGGCGAGGAAAGAAAGAGGGAAAAACAGTGGGACGAAGTGAGAGGAGAGAAAAGGACAAGAGAGGGACGAGCACAAAGACAGAAAAATAAAGGGAAAGAGAGAGAAACAGAAACGCCAGCAACTAATTGAGGAGAGAGAGGTCTGTATACTCCATACAGGGTTAAGTCTCAATCCTCCTGTTCACAATGGCCTTTCTCTGCAGAATGAATCGCTGCTTTAAGGACAGCTGGTTCCTCCTGGTCATTTCTGTGCTGTTGGCGACAGTAGTTTCACACCCTCAGTGCCTGGATTTCAAGCCACCGTTCAAACCCGCTGAGGCCCTGTCGTTCTGCTCAGCCTACTCCAGTTTCGGTTGTTGTGATGCTCGCACAGACTCCACTCTGGCCCAACGATACCAGCACATCCTCAGCTACCTCCACCATTCAGGAGTCTCTGTGTGCGCCAAGTATATCCAGGAGCTGCTGTGTCAGGTGAGAGGTGGGAGGGGTGGGGGTGGGTTGGGGGGTGCAGGCTGGAAACAGTTTCACAGGGAGGCAGAGGGCAGGGTTTGTGCTTGGGAGTTTGGGAATTGGA